CATCCCCAGGTGCACAGCACCCCCAGGTGCCCATCATCCCCAGGTGCCCAGCACCCCCAGGCACCCAGCATCCCCAGGTGCCCATCATCCCCAGGTGCACAGCACCCCCAGGTGCCCATCATACTCAGGTGCACAGCATCCCCTGGGCACTGTATCTCCAGGACATGGCCTCCCCAGGACAAGGAGCTCCCCAGAAGAGCCAAAAGGGAGGGACCCACAATGCTGGGGGATGTTGGGGTGAGGCTGCACATTGCACCGCACCTTCTCAGCCAGCACTGCAAAGTCCTCGCCTGCCTGCTCAGCCAGGAAGCCCAGCCTGAAGATGGGGCAGTACAGCGCAGAGGTGGCATTGAAGGTGCAGCTCTTCAGGTAGTGGCTCTCGGCAGCCTGAATGTTGGCCCTGGGGAGAGCAAGGCAGGGAGCTGTGCATCAGGGGATGGGGTAGGACTGGTGCTGGAGCATCTGCAGAGGGCCCTGCAGGGATGTGCTGTGCCACACAGCATCTCTGCTGCTGCTGTTGCCATGAGGGGCCACTGCCTGGATCCCAACCATCAGCCCTGGAACCTGCAGTGCTCACTTGGAGAAGCCGAAGCGGGGGAATCGGATGTGGTTCTTGATGAGGATGGTGAACTGCGCTGCCATCTCTGCCAGGGACTCGCTGGGAGCAGAGGAGTGAGCACAGAGCGCTGCAGCTCTCAGCCAGCCTCACAACAGGGACATTGCTGCCCCTTATCATGCATCCCCAGGTGGGGGCTGTGCACAACCCAGGCCAGCACGCTGCCTGTACCTGCTGCTGCCTCCATGGAGAGGGCACCAGGCCAGCACCTCACAGCTCCTCCCACTGCCCCCGGGCACGCAGCGCCCCGTCCTCACACCTGCAAGGTAGGGGACAGGCACTCAGCATTGGGTCCTGCCCGAGGAGAGGCAATGCGCTGTGCCTCCTGGACTCACCGTGGTGGGATGCATCCATGGCCCCAGAGACGCAGTCCTGCTCTGAGTGGCATGCAGCGCTGGGACCCTGCGGGGGAGTGGGGATTGGGATGGGAATGGGAATGGGGATGGGATGGGAATCGAGAAGGAGATGGATGGGGATGGGATAGGAATGGGGATTGGGATAGGGTTGGGAATGGGGTGGGAATAGAGAAGGAGATGGGGATGGGAATGGCAATGGGGATGGTGGGGTGGGCACACATCCATTCACCTCCTGCCATGGAGAACAGCTGTGTTCACTGGTGCCCCCCCCTCCCCCCCCGCCCCCCCCCCCCCCCCCCCCTTAGTTGCCAAGCACAGCTTGTCCCCCACACACCACCCTGCCCCGTGCCCACCGTGCTCACCTCATGGCACGTCCCCATGGCCTGGGCAGCGCTCACCTCCACCCGTGTGAGGATGCTGAAGCTGCTCCCACCCTACAGAGCAGCCCAGGGGGAGGACAGCGGTCACGGCACAGCCAGGAGGAGTCAAGCATCTCCAGAGCAGCAGAGTGAGAGCTCACCTCGGGGGGGGCCACGTACTCCCCAACATCCCAGACCTTGCTCGGTGACTGCGTCACGCCCTTCACTTTGGTGATGACGGAGCTCTCAGGGCCCGTCTCTCGCTCCTGGTAGCCCTTCTGCACGATGAACACATACCTGCGGGGATCAGGACAGGGACAAAGATAGAGACAGGTGTCAGAGCTGCCAGCACAGCGAAGCACAGGGTCAGATCAGATCGGTTCCTACCCCATCCCACTCACCCGATGAAATAGAGCAGCACCAGGAGCTGCAATGCCCGATACGCGGTGCCGAGGAGCCCGTCCCTCACCACCACCACCTTCGGGCTGGAATAGCTGCTCACCGCCCTCCGGCAACCCGGCCCCATCGCCGCTGCGCTCCGCCCGCCACGGCTCGGCCCGGCCCGACCCGGCAGCGCTCCCTGGGGGCTGCGGGATGGCTGCGGAGGGAGGCTCGGCTGCACATGGCCCAGAGCCGCCGGCGCGGAGCAGAGCCGGGAAAGGCAGCAGAGCGTGTTGCAGCCCGTGGTTGTAACCGAGGGTTAATGATTCACTGTGAGAGAGCCCAAAAGCACATCGGTGTAACAGTCATCGGTGATGGTTGTGCAACGGTCGGACGCAACACGCCCAGCGTTAAGCAAGCCCGGGGTTTGTTCCCCGGTGAGCTGCTCACCTCCCGGAGCGGTGAGGGCACAGCGCAGCGTTGCTCCTTTCCCAGCAGGAGGAGGGGATGTGCTCGGGGCACCCGTGCTGCGTTTCCCAAAATCCGAAGGAATTCACAGAGGTGCAATAAACGAGCACCTCCCGGGAACACCGAGGTTTGACCGGAGATGCAGAAAGCGATGGGAATTGCCGCCCGCACCCTGTCCTGCAGGAACACGAGTGGGTTCGGCTGCCTTTACCTGCGCTCCGCTCGTGCCTCGGGGCTCTGTTCCCCCTCTGGCAGCAAAACAAGGACGGGGCCAGGGCCGTACCGCCAGCTCGGGACACGGCCGCTCCGCTGTCCCCACACGGCCCCCAGCACGGTGCCACCTCCCCGGCCCGGGCAGCCCATCGGGACGCGTCGGGCGCAGAGAAGCGTTCGGCCCCGTGCCGGCCTTGGCCACGGCCTCGGCCACGTCAGCGGAGCCGGGAGCCCGACGGGTGCGACGCGTGGGGCGGCGGGGTGAAGGGCAGAGCGGTGGCGGCCGCGGTGCCGTTATCTCCCAGACGAAGACAAACTCGGCGGTCCCCGGCGCGCTCACGGCTGGCCGTGCGAGCACAGCCTGGGCTGCACGTGAGGAGGCCAGGGGACGCGCAGCTCCCCCCGGGGCCGTGGCGGGGCCGCATCCCCACAACCACTCGGTTACCCCGAGGGCGCCGTGCGGCGGCCGCGGGACCTTTGTGACTCAGAGGACAGCGCGGGGCCGTCGTGGCACGGCGGACTCTGCCCCCCGTGTGCCACCGCGGAGCCCCGACGGGAGGCGGCGAAGCTCCGCGCGGTGTCCGCCCGCCTCCCGCAGTCCCGGCCCCGCGATGAGCGCCGCGCGCCCGCACCCGCTCCGCACGGGG